TTTTTAATCGCGCGGCGCGACGAAACTATAAGTTGAAATTAAACGTCGCGCTCCGAGGAAAATTAAGTCTTCACCTTTCATTTCTGAGTCATTCAGAAAGGAGCAAGGAGATTACGAAATTCCGTTCTAGGGCATTTTCAATTTGAAGAAAAACGCGGTTCTCACGAATTTGTTACATTGAATTTACGTGTAATTAAATGTCGGCCTAAATATTGTCCTATAAGAACAAAGTAGCGTGGATCAATGATACGTACGACATTCGAAAAGAAAAGTCAACTCTTTCATGACAGAGTGTCAAAAATCGATTCATAACGAAACAACCACACGTTCAGTCGTAGCCACGCAGTGCGTAACGTAGAAAATCGAAAAAATACATGTGTGTGTGTGTGTGTGTGTGTGTTCTTTCACGAGGCGGAAAGTACGTTGGAGCATTTGCATGTTTCGCGATTTCCATGTAGCTCGTTTGAATTGCAAGTCGAATAAAAATCAGTCCGGCCACGGATTAGCATAACAACGTTTTTATTTCCCTCGCCGTTGTAATTCGGGGAATTAATATTCCCCGAACGGCAGCCGGGTGGTATAAAAAGGCCAGAGAGTAAGACGAAAGACGCTCTTGACGACATTTCGCGGTACAATGTCGTCCAAGGGTGGGAGGGAGGGAGAGGATTGGTAACCTCCTTAGGAGGCTGCGTTTATCGTCGAGAAACGTCGTCTTTCATATGTAGATTGTCCTTGCCGACGTTCGTCGTCTCTAACATCGTCGAACGAATAATTTTCTTATCGGTGGCAGTTCCTTAACTCGGCGAGAAGGAACGTTGAAAATTTGAATAAACGAGAGAGAAAGAGAGAGAGAGACTTTGGGATGCTTCCAACTTCTTTGTCAAAGACGAAATTTTTACTTAATCCTTCATTCGTTAGTTCACTACTACGTCTTTCGCAAAGAGAATAGAACGCGTTTAAGAATAAAAGGATGGTTGTAGAAAAGAAATTTGACGGAAGTAAGGGTTTGACGACATTTGGCAAAATTTGTAGGATCATTGATAAGACTGCTGACACAATTTCAGAAAATTTGAACGAAATTTTCATAAGAGGAGAATTTGTATTTATAATTCTTCTACTGGAAAAATCGAGCGGTCTTTTGTAGTTGAATGAGCAATTAATTTCTAATTTGGTTCTTGCCTAAATATGCCAATATCACCTTGCTTTCGAAATTGTTTAATTTTTTATTCCTTTCTTTTATAAAATTAAATCAACCATTACGCGATCCAAGTTTGCAAACGTTTCCATTCCAATTTACAACTTTCTATTTCAGAGTATCTCAAATGTTCTTTGATTAACGAGAATATTGAAATTTAGCTTGTTAAAGTAATCTAGCTTCAAGCATCAATATCGAATAGAAAATTACAGATTATACGTTTGTGTAAAATATTATCTATTCGTTTAACAAAGCCGTTACTTTAAAAATGATTACAGAAAATTTTTCTCATCCCTTATAATTCATCTCTCTGATAATTCTAAAAATTTTCAATTTTAATTCTTTAACTCTTTCACTCGAGAAAAGTCGGTCGTCGTGGCAGTGAACCAGAGTAAAATTTCGAGTTACTCAAACTGATCTAGAAAAGGTTTAAAGTCGAGTTTCATCCTTTTCTTCTCGCGCTGTTCGTGAAAAAAGTCTGTCAGTACGGACGACCGTGGATCGACAGCAGTATGCAGGAACATCGCGCAGTTTCTCGCAATACCGTGGAGTCCGAGCATTTCGATCTGGCTCGCCCTAACGCGACATTCGACGCAAGGTTCGGCCGTCACGTAGCAGGTAATATGCAAATGACATATCGTCACGGTGAAATTTATTCATGGACGCGACTGCCCGCAGCTGCGGCTCCCAAGTTCCTCGTCGACCTTCTGCGTTTCCCCAAAATTGTCGTAATGAACTTACTCGGCCATGCAAAACTTCGACCTTACTCCCGGCGATCGGCCGTTGCAATTTTACAGGTCGAAACAAATCTCCAATAGTTCTCGTAACTACGCGCTGGCGTGGTCGAGTCGAACGAAGAGCAGTTCATCGACAACTTTCAGCGATATATTTAGGAATCGAGTGATTTTCTTAACGAGTCGATCCGACTGCCGAGCGCTTCTAGAGTATGACGTACAAAACCGTAATTACGATCTTAGTCACCAGCGGCCGACTCGTAAATCATTATTCTCAAAAATGAAATCTCCTAGTCTACAAAACTTGCTCGGTCTACATTAATTAGAACCTGGCCACCGTCCAACCTCGCATTACGCGAAAAACCGAATACCAATTCCGTAAATCATTCGCGACATACGTCGACCGAAATAAAGCTAGAATTTCTACTCGCACGAATTTTCTGAGTCATCCGCCTACGAGTATACTTCAAATATTCACCGACGAGGTAATCTGTAAACCACCATTCACGGTATTTTCAAGTCATCCTGCAATTCTCTTATTATTAAATTCCTACCGAGTCCGTAAAATTGTTTTTAAACTTGTTTCTCAATTCCTCCGACATTCGTCGAGGATAATTCTTAAACTCACGAACGCTAACGCGTCTTTTTCGCAATTTTTCTCTCTCCAGGGAGAGGCGAGCAACTCCGAAGACAAACGGGGGGCAATTTGACGAATGCGTGAATGTGACGAGAGAAAACAAATCGAACCGCGGGTTCGACACGGTCCATGGGAACGACACCGTTTTGGCATCGGGGCGCGACACGCTCGGCTGTTGGCTCGAAATCCGATATTTTTTTGGCCAGGAAGCTCGTTTGTTCCTAGTGAATCGCGCGTCAAAGGATCAGAGAGAGAGAGAGAGAGAGAGAGAGAGAGAGAGAGAGAGAGAGAGAGAGATTGCGCCATGTCGCTACATTTTATCGCAATTACGAATCGTAGCGAAGAAGGATTCGATCTCCTACGTGTGTTTTAAATCATCGGTAAACACGGCTACTTTCAACTGTCGCCGCGTGCCACTGAATTTGCACGCGTATGACCTCGAGTAATTCGTCGAAAAATGACAATCGAATGCAAAATTGTTATAATTTATTACAACGAGGCAAATTAATTTCTTATAAGCGTCCCCAAACGTTGAAACAAATACTGTTGTTTGGCGTTGCATTGTTGCTGCCTTTGAATAAATTAATTGCATTAAACTGAACTGTAGCGATATATATATATATATATATATGCGCAATATATGTGTGTTTATATTACTTGACTGTTACAACGAACACACGTGTAGTTGTTCGTTAGTATCTCAATAATGACGTAGAACTGCACGATTTAATTTAATTTGTTTATATTCGCAAGAATTAAGTGAATGAATCTATATAATGGAGAGCGCCATTCATTAAATTCTGTCCGTTGATATTAAACGCGTGAATCGGTTAGTCAAGAAGAAATTTTAAATTCGCGATAGAGAGTTGTTGAGAGGTATGTAAATGCCAAGACAATTCGACGTTAATCTGTCTTGAATTCAACCAAATTAAACGAAATTATTAAAAAAACATTCACTAATTATCAAACGATTCTAAATTCCTTAATTTTCATTTCATTTCATTTCAAATACCTAGACAATTTCCACCCCTTGGAACTAACTTCCACGGTTGTTTCATCTTGATTCATGTTGAATGGAGAACGATCTCGTTCAAGATACACGACGTACGGGCACGCACGGTTCGTACGAAGGCGAAATGCGAACGAGGCAAGGTTTCAATCAGTACATTAAGTTGTGCCCTCCACCGCTTGGAAAGGCGTGTTGATTACCGTGCACCGTGTCCCCCAGGAAACAATGCGGACATTTTATAGCCGGTGTACAACTGGCACAGTCCCCTTATACTTGCCGGGAACAATGGGTATTATGTAGCGTGGTGCACGCACGGAAATAGCCTCCCCCGGACTTGTTCGAACTAGTTGTAACTAACTGTTCAACTGTGCCCGTTGACGAGCAGCGCAACAATTACGCTAATGCATTGTCCTCGGTTCCTTCGCCTAACGACTCTAAACGATCGGTCGTCCCTCCTTCCCCCCGCGCCAGCCCCCCTTTCGGCCGTTTCAATTAAAGGCGACCAGGAAACACGCGGCGGGGGTCTTCCAGTTAAAACGTTTCGAAATCTTTCGCGTCGCGATTCCCGATCCATTGATTTATCACCGTTTCATTAGGCGATGGTTAATCGGTCGAGTGGATGCCTAAGCAGATCTTTAGAACTGTCTGACCGACCGTCGTTGCGATCTTCAACGATGACTTTGATGACAATGAAATGAAACGAACAAAGTGGAATAAGTATAAACTATTTCAGAGAGAGAGAAATTATCGTTCTCTGGTTTCTAGGTTCGATGTAGTAACGTTCGTCGAAGCAGAGAAAATTTGGCCTCGAGATTTCGTATCAATCTTTCCAATTAATAGCAGTTTAACTCTCAGATTGCTACGTGAAAACAGAGAAATTCGGCTGGATTTGAGTTAGCCGAGATTTCTGGACAAATGTCGCGGGAATTATCAAGTTAATGTGTAACGATCATTTTAGAAAATTCGGCTAGATCGAATCGACGATGATATGTAACATCAAATTTCAAATTAGTAATAATAATAATTTACCGATTATTCAGAGAAGCAGACAATTAGACTGAATTAGTCGAGATTTTAATATTAATATTATGCCAGCTTTCAAACTAATAATAATCGTAATTTAATCAGCAGAACATCTAGTTAAAAAGTTTGTGGAAATTCTGATTCTTTAAATTAAATTTCTACAGTTTTCCCAAATCTTATATAAATCATTCAGTTATTACTCAATTAATCTGTCACTCATTTATTACTCAGCTTTAAATAACGGATGAACATTTTAATAAACGTTCATACTTTGAAGAAAGATCTGACAGATGCGGTATCCATTTGAAGCGTGGAGCTCAAGTAGAACAGGCGCGACAGTGGTCAGACAGCGCGCTGGAAATTTCCCGCAAGTGAGAAAGTAGAACTGGAAACAACACTCACCCGTATCGTTGTCTCCTGGAACACCAAGACTATCGCTATTGTCATTGATGAAGGCCTCCGCCGTCGACGTGAAGGTCTGAGGTGATAGTGTGAGGTCCGGCCCGCTCTCACTATCGAACAGTTCTAAATTCCCATTGCCTGAAAAATAACAAGAGAACACGCCCTGTAAATTCTGTCGTCATCTAATATCGTCAATTAAACAATTGTAGAGTTAATAAATTGGCAGCAATTTAGGAAATATAATACACGATCGTTGAAACCAATTTTCGAAATCTCGAAATACGATTTCTACATCTCCATTTTGCACATCCTTTTGCTATTTTATAAAATTACGTAATTCATACCAATCGAACTATTTATTTTATTTTCTTTTTAATTATTTTATTATTTGAAAGTTTTTAACAAATGGAAGTACCGTTGGTTTATTTTTCCCCAAGATTCGTCTCCAACATTTTCTTTAGTACCCTCTAAATATTTTAAAACTCTTCTTAAGAAAAATAAAATCATTCTTGCGAAAGCAACGTTGAATAATGAGAATTATGATGATACTAAGTTTAAGATCGAGATAAGAGTTCTTCGAGAACTCAATGCCAAGAAACGAGGTTAACAAATCGAGGTGAAAAATTAGTAAGAGCAACTACACGTGGACGGGACGATTTTCCTGATTTCCGTGAACACGCTCGCCTCCCACTCTTATTTTTATAGCCATGCAACACGCAGAGACGAAATCACGCTCGTCGATGCCAGGTTGCTCGACCTCGAGGTTGGCAAACGTTGCCGACAGATGGACAAGATTCTTCGCGTGTTACGAAGGGCATAGTTCAAAAATAATTAGCTTTGTTTGTTACAATATGATTCGCGAGACTCCTACAGCTGCTCCTACAATTTTCTTTTATCAGCGATAATTGGTAAATGCAATTCAAGTATTAACTAAAAGCGCGTACGAATTTTTAACGTGCTGTATAAGTGCTTATAATTATATGCGTGCATAATTACTAAACCTAATTTGTATATCGTGTAGTCTCTGAAATTTATTTTGTATTTCATAATGCATTCTTTGCGACAGAGATCGAAAAGGAAATTTAATTGGACTGAAAACTTTCGAAGCTGAATAATTAAATCTTAAATCGTTACGATCTTGAATCTCGTCTAAGGATCAAAGATGCGAAAATCTATAAGATACACCTATTGCTCCAAGTAATAATACCTGTTAAAAGATTAAATGGCAGAGATCAAGTTTCATTTCTTAAACTCTTAAATTTCATTTTTCAATCTAAAAAAATTCTCCAAAAACTATTTGTCAAAATTTGCCCAAAGACAAATTCTGCTAAAAAGAATAAAATAAATAAAGTAAAATAAAATAAAATAAAATAAAATAAAATAAAATAAAATAAAATAAAATAAAGTAAAATAAAATAAAATAAAAAAAATAAAATAAAATAAAATAAAATAAAATAGTTCTAAGAAAGCAACTGAAAGGGAACGTATACGATGCACGACGCAATCTGTAATTTAATCGCGATATGGATCACCGGGAGTTGATCGATGATTTTTCGTTGTCAGGATGCGACGTAGAAGGGGAGGGAGGGGTTAAAGTTAGGCAACGGTGCTGGGAGGGTTAAACGAGAACTCCTCGGGTATGAGACGAGTGTCGCTTTCGCATATTCCTCGGCGCACTGACAACAACGCTGAAGAGCACTCTTACGAGAACTAGCAGCCAGTGGAGGATCTCTCGAGACCTTAGGTGGCCTTCGCGATCCGAGGACAACTGCTGCCAAGTGGCAGCAAACTTTGACTGTGGATTTTAGGTTACGTAGCTCGTCGTGCTAAGCGACCTAAACTCTGTCTTCCCTTCCCCTCCCCCCCTCCCACCGTCCCACCCTCTCGCGCTTGTCAGACCCTCGTTACGACCATCTCGGTTCACTCGATTATACCGCGTCGTCAACCGCGATCAGATCAAGAAATCGCGAAGCACACCCTTACTGTTTTTATCATGAGAATCGCGAGACGTATCTTTGTTGTTCTCGTCACAGTTTAGTAAAAAGAAAAAAAGAAAATCGCACGTTATGTATATTGATTGTAAACTTGACAATGGCTGTATTATCCACAGACAGTGGATGTTGATGCAAATATATATTTTTACGAATGTAATTCAAAAAAATGGAACCCAGATAGATCAGATGGATTGCTCAGCTTAAAGTTTCAAATGATACACGTATCAAATAATTGTAAATTTCTCCCAATTTGACTTTTAGATAAAACTGAAGTCCTCCCCCTCTTTTGGCAAACTTTACTTCTGAAAAAAAAAATTCACGAAACTTCGTTTAATAATATAAAATTTTAGTTCGTAATTGTAATAATTCCAGATCTAGTAGAGTCTAATTCACAACGCCGAGCCACGTTTAAAAGAATTCTGAAAAATCCAGCTGATTGTACAACAATTGGTACAAAAAATAAGGAAAGAAGAGAGAAATCGTAATACACGAGGGGGTGGCGATATATATTCGAGATAATTCACGACGAAAAACATACGATATCCGTAGCCACTTTTGCCGACACAATTATGCATTTGACGCAGAGGTACGTACACAAAGCATTACGTACCATATTCGTCGGCATCGACATCGACCGTGTACACGATTCGCGTCGTAGAGCGGGCGTTCCGCGTTAATTCAAAGCGACGGTATGCATCTCGCGGCGGATTAACATATTCCAGATTATCCGGCCGCGTTTGCGTTAATGCCTGCGCCGTTGGGTTAGTTAAATATGTAAATATAAGCGGACCCAGCCATGCTGGACCGTTATCCGCGCTTACGAGAGATCGATGAATCGCGCGCGGGCACAAAACGTTCGCACGCACACGCGCGAGATGCGCACGCGAAACGGGCTGAATAAAATTCGGAAAGAAACGGGAGAAAGGGTTTCGACGTTGGAATAAATCATTGGAAACGCGTATCTCGTGAAACAGCGATACGTTGATCATTTATTCTACAAATAATACGTTTAAACCCATCGCGTAATGACACGCAGCTATATGAATTCTGCTATAAAAGATTTATAAAAATGGAAGAACAATTGAAGTTAGATCGGTTCCTTTCGTGAACTGAAATCGTTCAATCCTCGAGTTGTCCGTTTTATTAAGAAACATCTTTACTTTATTACGTAGCTTATTACCATTTCGTTTGTGTTCCTAACAACAATCTAAAATTAATAAAATTCACAATCGAATCGATATTTTGGCCTTCCGTCACAGAGACGAAAACATTTTCTTTGCAGCTCGCTTGCCAAAAAAAAAAAAAAAGAAAACTCAATTACCTAATCCAACCCAGAATTCCCCGAGCACGTCATCAACGTCATCGCGATCCGGGAGGAAAAGTACCGAAGCAAACGGAACTAAAAAAAGAGATCTAAACAACACATCTGAACGAGGGAAAAATACCACGCACGCCGTATGATCAGGAACAGTCGTGTAATTTCAAGGAAACAAAAGGTGGGACGAAGCAACGAACCGGCCCGTAATGGCGATCCAGAATTAAAGCTCCATCGCGAGATTATTAACAAACGCGACCGTTTTATCTTCGCATGGTGGCGCGATCAGCAATGCACTGCAGCGGGGTAGAAACGGGAGGGGGCGAGCCATCGTTCCAAGACAAGGGGTTGATCATCGCCGCCCGGAAGAAACGGGCAAGGGGGATGAGAAACGAAGGAGGAAGCTAGAAGGAACCGGCCGCGCAACCGAGTTTATTCAACGCGCGAACGAAGCCCAGATATTAATTTTCGCGATGTATATGGATGAGTTCCGACTGAGCCACGGTGCAAAACCCATCCAGAGAGAAGGAGAGAGAAGGAGAGAGGGAGAGGATGAAAGTGGTAGATAGGAAGGTGATGATGCTGGTGTTGGTTGCTGCAGGTGGACCTACGAAGGAAGGTACATAGATGTAGCGGCGAGAAGCGGTCGTACAGAATGGCGAGGGGTGGTTAAATTGCTATCGATCCCCCAAGCTTCGCAAATATCGTTTACCTTACTCTTGCAACCCTTCTAAAATCCTATCCATGCTCTCTCGACGCTCGCCACCCGATCTCCCGTCCTTCGCTTCCAGCACGATTTCTTCTCCGCGTATCGTTCCTCCTTCCGTTTCCCTTTTTATGGAAAGTCAATGCCCAGAATCGTCGAAGTTATTTCGACGGACAAGGATTTTCCTGGACATTGTCTTTCAAATTTAGAGTTAACGTTTGCGTCTAAGGTGAGGGGATTGAACGAGTTGGATTTTCGAAATTTTCCGATACTTTTTATTTGTGAATTTCAAGGCCCAACACAATTTTGCTTCTATTTAAGATATCGCGTGTAGGGAATTAAGACAGTTGTAGCTTTTTCGAAAGATGTTTGAAGAGTGAATTGTAGTAGTTAATGTTTCATTTTCAGTTGTAGGTCAATGATCTTAGCGAATGAAACTAGATTCTAGAATCTAGTAATTATAAGAGAAAAAAAGATGAAAGGATGTTCGTGCGAAGTAAATAATACACTTCTGTGTATCTTCAATGAAAAATTAAATTTATAGATTACGACTAATCACAAAAATTACTGACCACCTCCATCTGTAACTGTCAACACACAGACTCTCGACTGCAAGAGAACGATAATTTATGAGAGTTCAAAACGAGATACCATTAAAAATGTCCCAGTTCTTCGTTAAACACATATATCCTTCCAATTCATAAATCGAAACATGCAACGAACACACGCAGACGAAATTATCCGCAGTTAAACGAAACATTGGCAATATTACCAAACAAAACTGAGCGTCCACGTGCCTCGATGAGAGTAGATTCCGACCACTTTATTTTTATCCGCCATTCGGAACAGTCATTATTTCCGGGCGAGACAGAACGGCGTCGAAAATTTCGAGCAGCGGGCAAACAAAAATTTTAATCAAATTGAAATTAATGGTGGTAGACGTGTTCGAAAACATTTTCGAAATAATGTTCTCTCTCTCTCTCTCTCTCTCTTTCTTTCTCTCTCTCAAGCACCCATGTATACGATCGATAGATTCCAATATTCGAGCTTCGCAAATTTTGTTTACCTTTCGGCAGCTGCACTGTCAGGATTCTATCCTGTCAGATATGTGTTATCAGCCGAA